CTGATGAGATTTTGGAACACTCAAACCCAGTGTGTGCTCCACTATATACCCGAAGAAAGCCTTCTTTAAAAAGCTCATCTGATTGTATTATACTTCCCTGCTTAAACCTTTTCAAGGCTTTCCAGCACCCTTGGGATAAATTCCCCAACCTTAACTTGGCCTATAAGGCTCTGAGTCATCTGGTCTTCAAGTTTGGCCAAGGTTTCCTCCTCCTAGTTCATACATGTTTCATTCTTGCAACATGCCGTGATCATCCCCAACCCATTGTCCTTAATTATGCAGCTCCTTCTGCCTGAACACTCCTTTCTCCCTCCACCTCCTCCTAACTTCCAATCACCTTTCTGGACCCAGTTTAACTCTTAATTTCTCAGGGAAGCCTTCCTTCCCCAATTTCTAAAACAGACGTAGGGTCCATATAACCCTGTAATTACTCTTTCAACTTTTGTTTTTCCCCCAAATTATAAGTTCCACGAGAGAAAAGACTGTGCTGTTCTTATTGGCCTCTTTGTCCCCACTGGCTACTGGAGTGCCTAGCTCATAACAGACACTGATAAAGGTTGAATGGATGGATGTATTAAAGTTAAGCCAGGAACAATAGGAATTGTAGGATTCCTTAAGAAGTCTAGATTTTATCTTGGGGGAAAGGGAAGCCATTACAAGGTTTGAAGCAGAAGAGTGAGACATAAAAGGCTCAATCACTCCCACTAGGCTGAGATGAACTGTTCAGAAAATCAGACAATAGAAACTGCACAGTGATAAGGGGCCCCTAATCCAGCCTGGAAACACCTGAACTGAGAAGATCGTGATTCTTAACCTACCTGAGGATCTTTTAAAAAACACCCATATGTGGCCCCACTCCAGTCTGATTAAATCAGTATGTCTGGGGTTGATTGAGGCTCAGACATGTATACATTTTTTCAGTCATTTTAAAATATTGACTATATTCCCTGTGTGGTGCATTACAATCCTGTGACTTTTTATTTTGTAACTGATGGTTTGTACCTCTTAATCCCCTTCACCCACTTCACCCCTCACCCCAGCCCTCTCCCTTCCTGTAACCACTACTTCGTTCTCTGTATCTGAGTCTGTTTCTGTTTTGTTTGTCTTGTTTTTTAGATTCCACATATAAGTGGAAACATACAGTATTTATCTTTCTCTGCATTTATACATTTTTAAAGCTTATAAAGTCATTTCAATATGCAGCCAGAGTTGAAAGCAAAGGCAGAAACAAGGATATTCCAGACAGAGAGCAAAGGCAAAGCAGCTAAGTATTGCTGGACATAAGTTCTAGACACAGGAGAGCCTTGAACTTTGTCTTCTAGATTATGAAGAAATTTTGAAGACTTTTAAATAGAGACACGAGAGCCTGGAATACAGAATCTTTTTTTCCCCTAATCTATATTGCAAAGTCAACAAGTTAATTATATTCTTGGCTTCGTAGTACATTACTATGAAAATTAATAAACAGAAACCTTATTCAAAATGGAATCAGAAGCCAAGAAAGGGGAGCACTCATACCCTATGCCTTGATGACCTTACTACTTAGCAGAAGGAAGAATTTCTCCTTGCCCTGCGACAGCCCAGCCAATTAGAGACTGTCACAACTCAGCCAGTGAAAAGCTACTACACTTTGAACTCCCAGATTCCTTCAATAGACTCTTTGTTTATATCAGCCCCTCTCAACTGCCTAGTCTCCTCTATAAAAGAGGGATCCTTTCCTTTGTTCTCAGTACTTGCCTATGTTTCAGCAAAGATTGCTTGTCCTGACTTGCCATGCTTTGCTCTTCCAGAAAAAAGCCCATTTTGCTGGTAAAATACCTGGCTGTTTTATTGTTTTAGGTTAACACTGTCATCACTTGAGTTCATCCAAGGCCCCTCTCTAGTTCACTTCATTTTTTCCCTCTTCATTCCTGAATCCTTCCCCTCCTCCCTATAAGCATCATTCTAGTGTGCTTCATTTGTCCCTGAATATACATATGCTAGTTTTATGGGTGTGTTTAATTTGCATGTAGAATTTAATTGCATTGTAAGTGTCATTGTTTTATCTTTTTCACTCAACCCTCTTTTTGAGATTTATCCTTGTTACTATAGTTCATCACTTCTGTTGCATAGAATCTTCCTGACACCACAAAGCTTTTAATATCCTCCTACATGTTGTCTTTTGTTCTGTGCAATATTTTCTCATGGTGATAATTCTAAGATAACAATCTGGCCATTTCACTTCCCAGTTCCACATCTGTCAATGACTCCCCATTTCCTTAGGATAAACACAGACTCATTAGGATGACCAAGGCAGTACTCAGGATTTAGGATCTGGCCCCTGTAATTGCTGCCTCTTCCCCCCATCATTAGCTAATTACAGTTTTCGAAAGGTGTCATGCTCATTGATACCACCCTGACTTTGTGCATGCTCTCTTCTCTGCCTGGGCTCCCCTTTTTTTTTCCTTCTTGGCTTTGCTGTTACCTTCACATCTTTCAGGACTCAACATAGTACCTCCTCAGAGGAGATGCCTGTCCCATATTCCATCTCCTACATTCCCAGGCAGGGCATCCTCATAATGTTAAATCCTTTCCCCAGTGTGAAGGAGAGGGACTGCTTTCTGCCCTTTTACACTCCCTCAGCCTGCTGAAGAAGCACGAGGAAGCAGATACAGGTTCCTGAGAGACCCCAGTTTAGCATCTATTAACTGAGTAACCCTGGGCGAGTCATGTTATGTCTCTAAACTTCCTATTCTTCATAAGAAGACCTAACAATACTTGCCTGATGGATAAGGCATTTGTAAAGATCAAATGAGTTGCTTCAGGGGAAGTGTCATGATAGCCTGGAAAAAACTATGAATATGATTTTACTAATAGATTGCTATTTTTTTTTTACTTGCTTGTATCTTTTTTTAAAACTGAAACATCATTGATTTACAATGTTGTGTTAGTTTCAGATGTACAGCACAGTGATTCAGTTATACATACATGTTCTTTTTTATTATAGGTTATTAGAAACTTTATATTAGGACCTTGTTGTTTATCTATTTTGTATATAGTAGTTTGTATCTGCTAATCCCAAACTCCTAATGTATCCCTCCCTCCCCATAAGTTTGTTTTCTATGTCTGTGATTCTATTTCTATTTTGTAAATAGGTAAATAAATTCATTTGTGTCATTTTTTTTTTTAGATTCCACATATAAGTGATATCATGTGATCCTTTGTCAAGGTGGGCTTTGTGTTCATTTTAGCTAGACTTGAGTGGTGTGGTGTGAAAACGTAAGGAGTGAGCAGCATGCTCACTGAACTTTCTAGGCAGTCACCCAGACTCAAGTGTTGATTCAGTATCATGAGGGAAGAGGGAGAGCCAGAAGGTGGAAGGTGAGAGGGTCAGGTTAACCAGGCTTAGAGTAGGAGATTCGGGGCCTTTTTCTTCCCAATTTCTGTAGACTTCATGAGAACAAAGATCTGGCTTTTTTTTT